TGGCATTACACACCTTACACTTGGGCCACACCTTACACTTGGCTGTGTAAAAATATGTTCCGTCATCAAGACACCATGCATAAGAGAGTGAACAGAGGAGATTAATCCTATCTTGGACATTGTTGGCCGCTGAAGTGCGGATAACAGCGATAAATTGAGTAGTCATCAGTCAGCCTCGGAATGTTGTGAATGTCTCACAAGGAAGACTGTAACAAAGGTGTATCCATTAATTACTTAATCTCCAACTAACGGGTGAGTTTCCGAGCATCTGCACTAAAGCTTTCGCTCATAGGAGTTTTGTTCTTTTTTATGGAAGTGGACAATTTGTTTGGACTAAAAGAGACTTTGAAGAAGTAATATACAAACAGGGTAATTTATAATCGTGAACGCATTTTTTAAGAAGCTATAAAAAGCCATGCAGCATACACTATTAAAGTTGATCAGAGCAATCAACAGTTGGTTCCGAGTCTTGTTCTTGCCCGGTTTCTTTCGCCATCGCTTCGAAATTGTTTTCAAGCTTTCCTTTGCCGGACTCTTCATGAAAGGCACGTTTATGACGCATCAGAGTAGACAGCACCGTAAACGTTGCTCCACACACTTCGCACACAAAATCTTTCTCATTTGTGTGCACAACCAAATGGTTGGGGATATCAGTAGCGAATAAGAAACGTTTTCCGCACAAGGGGCATACATGTTTTCGGAAGCTGCGCATTGTTTCTTCATCGGAATGTTGTAGCTTCTGGTGCCTCCTCACAGCCGAGGGATCGTTGAATTTCGCGTCACAGAATTTGCATTGATGCTTTTTGATATTGTCGTGAATTGCCTGATGACGCTCAAGTTTTGACCTAAATTGAAAGGGTTTATCGCACACTTTGCACGTGTACAGATTTTGTGTTGTTTTGCCAGATGACGCTTCCGACGGTAACACCGGGTCATCTTTGACACTAGACTGTGAAAACAATTCATCTTCCGACGTTGTTACATCTGGTGACGCATGCAGTACACTGCCAGTTAAATCCCGTGATTTCTCATTAACCTGATACGGCGACATGCGATTTTCCATCTTCAAGTCTGTAATATGTGGATATAGAGATGCGTTGTCTGTACAAACATTAAATGAAATCAGGTGACACAAAAACTGCTGAGAACACACTTGGATATAACATTGACGGGTTTGTTGTATTGGCGATGTGGAACGCATACGATATAACTTGTATTAAGCTTTTGCGTGTACATATATCATTATAAAATTATAAGGCATATTGATTCTGACGGACCGATTACTATGTATTAATGTTCTGAATGGATAAGCCAGTCAAACGGTCGAAGAAATTTAAATCTGTCATAGAAATGGATTATGGTCAAACCTGACTAGTAATCTAAGTCTACTCTCACTTCTCCTAGGGTGAATTTTCTCAGAGTGTGACAGCTGCCAAGATGTACACTGTAAAAAAATCCCTTGTCAGAAAACAAAATGGGGAAACCGTGTAGAA